CCAAACTATAATCTAGATTAATTTATATAAATCCAACACACTTTATTCCAGTGTACCGAGTCTCGAATGGCCGTTCTTTTTAGGACCCGTCGTTTTCTAAAAGCTCATTAAAATGTGTGTTTGGATCAGCGAGCAGCATTTATATTTTCTAACATCTAAAATAGCAAAAAACCCTGTCGTTTGTTTCTTACGTGTTTCAACAGGTTTGAGGATAATTAGCTGCAGGATGTCATTGATTCTGCAGATTGAATTCAGTAAATGTAAAACCTCTTTTCTCTTTTGATGACTGATTATTAATAATCTTGTTCATCTCTCCAGGACAGTTGGACTCCTTTTGTCTTCAGCCACCGTGTTTAAGGAGCCTATATTGTTTCCCTTCTGGTGGTTAATCTGATTACATTTCAATTTGCACATGTGACTGTCTGGTGGATGACAGGCTTACTGTTGAATCGTCTCAACCCCTCCCTGCCCTTCTGACCACCAGTCACCCAAGGCCATTTGTTAGGAAGTAAGGTCATTATCCCCCGTCCTTAGCAGCAACACAAAATGAAATGACCAAGTATAATAAAGAACGCTAGGATGTGGAGACAGAAGGCAGACAGAACGCTGAATAATCCACTAAATTGGGTTGATTTTCATAAAATTTCTGCAGCTTACAGGTTGAAATATAAATGCATTTAATTAATATGTGTGTGTGTGTGTGTGTGTGTGTGTGTGTGTGTGTGTGTGTGTGTGTGTATGTGTGTGTGTGTGTGTGTGTGTGTGCGCATGTGTGCGCGCGCGTGTGTGTGGAGGTGTGTTTTACTTCCTTTTACCATTTGTGACCTAAAAACACATTAAAACCATTGGAATTTTCATGAGCTAACGGTTGTGAAGCTGTTTTGGACTCTTGTGGGATTTGGATCTCCAAATGTCTGTTTTTCCATTTTTACTGATCTCTTCCTCACCACTCCACCTCTCTTCCAGCGACATGGTCTGTCGTATGCCGGGGGAATAAAGCCTTCGTCAAGACAAGACAAGAATGGGGTTTGATGGGATTATTAATCGCATCATCATGTTGTAGAAAAGATGTTGCTATGGAGATGCTTGATGCAGCTTTTTGTTAATTATCACTAAGTTGAGATAAGCTTGTGGGATGTGATCCGATAGGTATTTTTCTCATGAGAGAACTCTTGATGTGAAGTGTGATAAAAAGAAAAAAGTTAAACCTGATGTGATGTTTGAAACACATCCATAAGAGCTAGGGCAAGCACACAAGAGAAGGAGATGAACAAAACCATCAGGGTTTGTCTTAAAAAATGTGGTGTATTATTTAAAGGTGCACCATTTTTTAATGATTATTTCTGAATATAGTCAGCCTGAGTGTTTCATCCAGGCAAAATATGAAAATATTTCCTACATCTATCTCCTGCATTAGCTTCTAATAGAAAATAGATACTGAAACTCTTGGATTTGAAAATAATGACAGAGTGACATCACACTGTCACCTAACATTCATGGACTTACCCATCTTGACTCATGACGGGGAAGGCTGTTGTTGGTTTGGCGTCCAGGAAACAGCAGAGAACGTCTTATCTAGTAGAAGCTAACCATTAGGATTAGCAACTCCACCACACAGCAGAACTCCTCCAGCTTTGCGTTATTTGTGGAGATAAATCATCAATATTGGAGTCAGTGGTAGAGTTGCGTCGTTGTTATCCAATCCGATGCAAGACGTCCAAATATCAGGAAACAAGAGTCCAAAATCCGACGTGTTGAGCTCTCCTCTGATGTGGTATTATGCCCCCCCCCCCCCCCCCCCCCCCCCCGCGTAAGATTTACAAGGCATTCATTCCTGCTACAGACCACTGCAAACGTATTGATTAAACGAGGCTTCCACACCTTTAATACACGTGGCTGGATGAACAAAAATTTTTTCTATTTCTGAGATAATTAACGGTCCACAGATTAATTTCTTCTATGGTTGTTGTGCATACAGAGACTCAAACCTGTCTTCTTTTTTAAATACTTTCAGTCAGTAAGAGGTCTGGATCAGATAAAAGGTTTTATTTTTCTGTTTTTTCAGAGTCAGCCAAAGCTGTTCTCCTGACTAGAGTGGTTCTTGTTGGCTGAAAGCCTGAGATTTGTCAGCCCTCCAGCAGGAATCTCACCGAGGCTGTTCTCCATAGCCTGTATCATTCTAGATAGATAAGGGACTCTGGTGCAGGGTAGTCATTTTCAGTGCATGAATTTAAGACAAATGATTGTTCTTGTGCTAACTTCCCTCCTCCACCACCCGATCCTCTTATGATTATGATCAATTTTCCACTCGTAATTAGAGCCTGGCAGTAACTCAGCTTATGGGCTCTGACATTTTATGTAATAGCCTATAATATTGTTGTCAGTCACATTTCATATAGTTGGTGCTCTAAGCCAGGCTCTCCCTTTTTATGTTTCACGAGTTTTGTGATGGGAGTTTAGCTGTTGATTCTGATGTTTCCCTGTAAAATATGTCAGTCGGATCAGTGAAGCTGTCCTAATAAACGACGTGTAAGTGAGCTGACACGTGAGTGCCAAGTACGGCATAAAACAAATCACGGTTTTATAGAAACGACCACAGCCTAATTTAATGCAGGCTTTGATCAAATTACTCGTCGTGCTTCTACCTTGATTTCTCTTTCTGTGTGAGTCGACCCCATTCTGCTCCAGTTTGAGAAATGGAGCAAAGCAAACTGTCTGAAGAGCCACTTCCTGTTGTGTACTGAAGATCCCTGTCATGTGATAGTGTCATTTGAGGCGGTTGCATGGGGCCAACACGGGGAGGGAATATGGTGGCCGTGCTGATCTTGCTGATGTGAATGTGACTACCCCCACCCCACCAGCTACCACCCTGATTGTGTAAAGTGTCGACTCAGCTGCTGTGGCATCACGGCCCACTTGCTGCACACTGCTCAGGCACTATTGCAGCACAAACACACACATACAGATACACATAAACACACCAGTGGTGCACAGCGTGAGCTAAAGACACACTGTGGGCTACACACATGATAACGAATCATCCAAACTCAATTTGAGTGATCTAGGTTGTGGCTGTTCATTGGACAGGGTATAAATAAAGTATCATGTTTCACTTTAAACACCCAAGTTAGCATATACATATTTATTTACTTTTATGTTATTTTTAAAGCTATGAGTCTTCAATGATCTCCTGTTTAAAGCAGCAATATGTAAGAATTCTGTTGTGAAAAAGTTGACAGTTTTTCTCCTTTTAAATAAACACTAAAGAGGGACAGAGTTACTATTTACGATCTACCAAAGCTCGGAGATCGTAGAACCGTCTATTTACGTTCTATCACCCGTGCCATTATTTGCGGACGCGTCTACCGGCACATTTTTTTCAGCCGAGTCGCGCTATTTGCTAGTCTGCTTCTGTCGGCACGACAGACGCACCAAGAGCAAGTTTAAGCAGTGTGTTGATTTGTTTAGCTGGGGTGCTCCGTAGAGCTGAGGAAAATAATCTAACAGTCAATGCAATAAGATGCGGACATAAACGATTATGAATCATTGAGGAAGCACATCATACCCTTATTATAGCGGCTAGTTGCTAGCATTAGCCACTAGCCTGCTCCATCTCTAAGACAGCAAGCTAACAGCAAGATCGCAGACTTCCACATTTCTTCTAACGCTGATGATATGTTACCGTAATACATGTAGTAAGTACTCCCAAGAGTGCTAACATCAGGTATAACAAAGTATTTATGTACTTATCAAATTACTGTGTATGGTAATGGTAAATGGTCTGTATTTGTATAGTGCCTTCTTAGGGCCTTCACCCATTCATTCACACACATTCACACGCTGGTGGTGATGAGCTACAATGTAACCACAGCTGCTCTGGGGCGCACTGACAGAGGCGAGGCTCTGCACAGGTGCCACCGGTCCCTCGGACCACCACCAGCAGGCAAGGCGGGTTAACTGTCTTGCCCTACCTTCCAATTACTGGACAACCCGCTCTACCCCCTGAGCTACTGCTGTCCCACATATGTTTGACTCGTCTTGGCTTATCTTCTGGTCCTGTTCTGTAACCAGCAACAGCCATGAAACTCACGCAACAGGAGAGAGAATGTGATTTTTTTGCTTAGATGAACGGACTGCAGTAATAACGTTTGACCACAGGATGTCATTCATACATATTGCACCTTTAAATAAATGTCAACTGAATTTTCAGACAATTTTAAGTGTTTCTTTCTAAACGGGATAAAAATCACTAACACTCATCTGTTTGAAGAAATAGTTTTCATCCTACATTACTGATGACCTAACAACTAGTCTGACAACCATCATTATGCAACACTATAATTTTCTAAATCTCACAGAACCATTAATTTTCTAGACATAGACATAGGAATGGTCCTGTTCTCTTGTTACCGAAGGATGTTTCACCTCTCATCCTTAAGTCTTTATTTAATTGACTCACATGCTGTAGTAGATTTATACAATCACACTAATAGGTCCTGTTAAGTCACATCAATCACTACCAACATCAGAACTGATGATGTCTTTTTGGATGAAGGTGAATATCTCGGTTGTTGTTTTTGAATCCTTAGGATTTATAGAAGAAGGTTTTTTTTAGAGAGCCTTTTTTATGCTTGCTGAACTCAGCTCCTGGAAAAGAGCAACATTTTGCTATAAGCTGTTAAATATCCATAAAACTCCATGTAAATAACTGTGTAAGAATACATTGACGGTGGTGTAAAGGTTAATGAAATAATGTAGCGCTATCCCCTGGGAAATGCAGGATATGTTTAGCTGTGGTTGTACTAACAGTTGGCTAGGTAAGATGGTGATGATCTGAAACATACTTCAAAATACCCCTCATGATTTCCTTCTGATGTATTTTGGTCCACCTGCTTGGCTGCACACCTAAGTAGTAAAGATGTTTCCTAAACATAATGTTAAAGCAACGGACTCTTTCTTTTCTCACTCTGCTCTTTCCATTGTCTTTCTTATTTCTGCAGGTCCTTCCCTGGAGAAGTCCCTGTGATCAGTGAAATCTTCAACCAACAAAATGGCAACCTGAAGTGTTGCGGATTAACTCATCCAACGCAACGACACCTTGACTGATATGATGACTTGAAACCCAAAGTTGAATTATTCAGACAAAGAAGTTCAGTCTCATATATTTGTTGTCCCAGAGGAAGACGCGGGACTGGAACAGCAAATGATTTTTTGCTTATATGGTTTAACTCTGCCTTATTATTGACTTAATAGGCGAATGATTGAAGGTTGACAGAATAGAATTCTTCCCTAGATGTACATGTGGAGATAGCAGTAATTTTAAGTGTTATTACGCTTGTGAGCGAGCAGGTGCACAGGCTGGTTTCTGCCATACTATGAATCCCAGAGACAGTGTGGAGGTAATGGAGACTGAGGCAGGAGGTCAAAAGGAGAAGCTGATTGGAGGGAAAGCCAATCCTGGAAATGAGATTGAGGGCGAGGATGACAAAATCCCTGGAGCTTACAACTGCAACATCTGTGGACGCAGCTTCCCTTTTCTTAGTTCTTTGTCGCAGCACATGAGGCGACACACGGGCGTGCGCCCTTACAAATGCCCCTACTGTGACCACAGGGCTTCCCAGAAGGGCAACCTCAAGGTCCACATCCGCAGCCACAAACTCGGCACACTGTCTAGCCACCACTCCAACGAGGATGAAGAGGGTGGGGCAGAGGAGGAGGAGATGAAAGTCTCAGAGGGTCTCAATGGAAGCACCAGTCCAACGAAGAGCAGCTCAGCCTGTAACAAGGTGATCAACGGGGACGCTGGTGAGGAGAATCGGAGAAAGATGTCTGCCCGGAGCATGAAAAGGGAAAAGTCTGTAACCAACCAGAGGCCTTTCTGTTGCCGCCTGTGTGGCTACGAGGCCCAGCGAGAAGATCAGCTCCTCAGCCACATTGAGAAGGTCCACATAACAGCAGACGCAGCAGAGGAACCCGTCCCTGTCAAGGAGGAGGACATGACCGAACCCGATGTCGCCCAGTCGCAGAGCGATGGGACGTTCCCCTGTGAGACCTGTGGTCAGGTCTTCACCCAAGCCTGGTTTCTGAAGTCACACATGAAGAAACATGCCGGGATACTGGACCACTGCTGCAGAATCTGTGGGAGAAGGTTCCGCGAAGCCTGGTTTCTCAAGTCTCACATGAAAACACACAACACCAAATCCAGGTCTCGCTCCAAAGCAGACTCAGCTGAGCATCCGGCCACTATCAACGATGTAGCCCAGGATCCTGACGCCGTCACTGCCTCCGTCACATCTGTTTATCACACCTGCTCCAAATGCGGGAACCTTTTCCACAACAAAGAAAGTCTAAGAGCTCATGAAAAAGTTCACAGTCAGAGCTTTGGGAGAAAGTCCCCCATCCGGCGCAGCCCTAGCGACGACGAGGACTCGCCAGCTGCTAAGAGACGTTTACTTGAGTACCTAAGCCTTCAGTGTGTTGAAGTTAAGGCTGTGAAAGAAGAGGAGGACAGTGAGAACATGATTATGGGTCAAAGAATTCCAGAGCTGGATCCAGTTTGTAGCTACCAGGCTTGGCAGTTAGCCACTAAAGGAAGGGTTGTGGAGCCTGTGGAGCCCAATTACAAGGCCTCCTATGGAGGAGGAAGTATGGAGGAGGATGCCCTTTCTGAAGCCGCTGTGGTTTTTGAGAAGGAGAGCAGTCGTTATGTCCTGCAAGGTCAAGAAAAACGTATCTCTGGCAGACGCAGCAGCTCTGGGGTGGGAAGCCACACCTCATCAGGGGACAGGACACCTGAGAGCCTCAGCGACTCTGAGTACCGACCTTCATGTCGCCAAGACAGACGACGATCATCCCAGCCACAAGCCTCCTCCAAGGGCAACGAGTGCTTCGAGTGTGGCAAGACGTTCCGCAGTCGTCACCAGATGATCGTCCATCAGCGGGTCCACAGGAAGGACGGGGGCAGGGCATCTGTGGGAGACAAAGAGAGGACAACAAGGAACGAGCAGTGGGGCCATGCCAGTGATGTAGAGTCAGGCTCCCCGAGCAGACCCAGCACTCCCGGGTACGGAGACTCTCCACCAGCCTCAACTCTGGGAGACCAGGCTTCTGAGATGGGTACCTCAAACTCTGGAGAGCTTGCAGGTTAGTAAGACACTACCGTCAGTGTTTTTGTTTTACGAACACATGCGTGATCTAAATCAAAACAGTCGTTAAAGAACACTTAAAACCAACCCAAGATGTTTTAGGGGCAGGCGATAGTTTTTTTAAGCTCTCAGCTGACACCTCTGTGCTGCTGGTTTAAACATCTGTTGCCAAATCTGATTTGTGAAGCAAACGGCTGCTCTGCCCTTAGAGGTGGGAAATAGCACCACCATGTGGTGAAGTCGTACCACTGCAGTGGAAGGAGTTCAGTTCAGGATGCACAATGTTTGCAAACAGAATTTCTATTAAAAAAGAGCGCTAAACAGAAATTTAACAATAAAGTACATTTTTGGGGCTTTCCAAATCCCTTTAATGTTTTCTGTGTGTATAAATTAATAAAACAAATGCCGAGGATGTAAAACAACACTTTAAAAGGCAAAGCATACACAAACGTAACAAGACTTCAGCTGGTTTCTCCACCTTTTTCTTTTCTTTTCGGGGCACCGGTTTTCATAGAAGATGGTAAAGAATTGTAGTGATGATCTTGAACTTTCCAGTTTGCACAGATGTTCAAAAATAGCAGCAGAATTTATTCAGGCCCGATAGAGCTGTGTGCTATTTCAGGTCTTCCTGTCTCAGGAAACCCCCCCTCACCCCCCACATCTCAGTGTGAATATGAGTTTTTGTTCTACTTTAACCCACTAGCGCCGTTTATCCTATGAACGACTGTTATCAAGGATTCACTTCTTCTGTTTAGGTAAATTCAGCATAGAGAAAACATTTTTCTAACTACTCAGATAGTTTGGAGATTTGCATTTGTGGCTAAATATAAATACAGATATGTGTTTCAGTCAATAATCCTACTTAGAATTACAAAAGCATTATTTAAAGGGGTCAAAAGTAAGAAAGATGTATAAAATGAGCCTTTAAAACATCGTGTGATACTTTTACTGTCAGTCATCCAACCCTTTTATGAGCCAGACTGGTTATTTATAGTGACACCTCCTAATGGATGGAGTTCTGCTGGCGTGGAAAAAAAACACCCAGAGGTTACTCCCAAGAACTACTCTGTAGGATGCAAATGGTTTATGGATTTGAAAACATTTCTCACCATTTCTTGTTGAAAGTGAGTTGAAATATTTATATAAATCCATAAAAACATTTATAGTTTCTGATTAGTGTTTGGCTTGCTAGTTTAGGACACAGGAAGTGTGTGTGTGTGTGTGTTTATTTTACTCTTATATTAAAACATCTAATGCTAAAATGATCATCACATTGTGATTCTTAGTTCCTGATGGAACCCCTAAGGAGGTATTTCAGTTAACTGGTCATTGTCGCCCTCTGGTGGTGAGTGTAAAGAGCTGCATCCCAGGGACAGTCTTTGTTATGTGCAACAATAATGTCCACAGACTGTGGACAAACCTGTTATATTAGGTGAAAAATCCAGATTTTATGTCCTTCATTAAAGTTTTAACTTGTCTGAATGCTAATGAATGTCTTGAATACTTGTTTTTATTGTTTTATGTTATGCCTCAGCTTTTTCATTTAGGGCAAAGTAGGTTTAGTGAACACTACTGCCCTCTGGTGGAGCTTCACTAATTCTGTGTCCTGATAAGTTCTGCCTCTAAATTGGATGAGACTCTGATCTCTGATCTTTCTGTTGCTTTCCTTCTACAGATGTGAAGCCCTTCGTCTGCAGCATGTGTGACTTTGTCACCTCCGAGTCTCAGGCTTTTTCCACCCATGTCCGAGTCCAACACCCGGCTGTCCCCAACGACAGACATGAGCTTGTTCCCAGTCCCACCTCCAGCCTGGACAGAGGCAGCTCTAGTAGTTATCCCAAACTAAAAACTGATTTTGTCCAGGGGCTAAAGACCTCTCCACATGATCCCACCTTGACCCCCGTGGATCTGTGTGTGAGGGCGGAGGGTATCAGAGGCACAGCCTCCTTAACGCTGGACAGAAAAAGCCTCCCTAGCCACAAGTGCTCCTTTTGCTCACACTCCACCTCCTACCCCGAGGTACTGTGGATGCACCAGACTGTGGCTCACCGCATCAACAGCAGCAGCTCCAGTTTGGCTCCTAAATGGGCTCTTAAGACCAACTCAAAGGGCTCCAGAGATGGTGTGTTAACGTCTAGGAGGCGCACTGGACCCCCACCGATGCTGGAAGGGAAGGAGTGTCAGCCCCTGCCTCCAGGGATGCGCCTCCAGCGTACACGGCCTCCGATCTGCTCCAGTGAGGTTCCAAAGAAGAGTAGGCCACTCAGTCATGCAACTGCTGCATCCTCCTCCTCCTCCTCATCACTCTCCTCAGGCCCCTGCACCTCTTCCTCAAGGGGCTTCTCATATGCATCAGCCAGCCGAGCTGGGAGAGTCCCCGTACGGTCAGCAAGTAGCGGTATCATCAAACACACAGAAGATCAAAATCGTCGCTTCAGACCCAAGGTGGATGTCTACCCACGAGGAAGCTCTCTGGCTTCTTCTGGCTCCTTGGAGAAGAACACCGGGAGCCTCTCCCGTTCCTCTGCTCCAAATCCGGGCTGCGCTTCCAGGGCGTCGGACCGCTACTTTATGCCACAGGAGGGTCTTGGCTTCATGCTGTCCAGCAAACACAGCCGAGCTCAGGGTTCGCCTCATCAGCAGCTAGCCAGCTCCCTCAGCCAGAGTCGGCCCAACATCTCAAGGCCCTCCACCATCATTCAGAGCTCAGTCACAACTCAGAACTCTGCCGGCTTTCAGACCCATGCAGATTCTGTGCAGAATTCTTCATCCCCCTCCTCTACCTCCTCCTCATCCTCCTCATCAATCCCAGAAGGTCGTAGAGACGTAAAGCAGGACCTGATTGCAGAGACAACGGAGCTGCCAACCGATGTCCTCAGATTCCTGAAGAACTACAGTCCTCAAGAGCTGGCTGCTCTGTACCACCGCTGGGGCGCAGCTAACGTCCTGCTGGATCCCACAGGTGAGGCACTAGCTTTCCTCTCTACTGGTTTACACTTCAACTAGTTGTGTGTTTGTGGAAAAATGGCTCAGAGCATCTCAGCTTCGGAGGAGATGTAAAGTGTCAGGAGTCATAAAGTGACGGTTGAACTCCTGATGCTTTTTATGAATCAGCAGCTTGTTTCTGGGCTGTTTGAGTACAGCTGAGAGGTGGAAGTGTGTGTTCACTAACTCACCTTTTTGGGGGATGGTGATTGATGCGTACACACTAAACGGGCGAGGGAGTCAACCTTGTAAGGACACACATCTACGGGAGCTTTAATGTGGGCCAGTGTGTGCTCGTGTGGCTCTGAGAGTTCACATGCAAAAGCGGCGTGTGAATATGCTAATTTATTTTCCTAAACAGCGGAAGACGTGAGAGAACCTTTGCTTCCTCTCGGGTCTGCGAGGCATGCCCGGACTCCTGCTCTACTCTCTCATAAAGCTGTCACGAGCGGTTTGGATCACGGCTCCTCGTGACGATTGGCTCGGGCAGATGCAAACACGAGAGAAGCACAAACGGAGAGATGCGACGGAATAATTACCCCACCAGCTGCGTTGGAAATTAGCGAACATCCATAATATTTGCCCGTTTTCCCGTTGTGTCTCTGAGGTCAAGTGGGGCTGTGTGGAGCCAGGGGTCAAAGACAACAGCCCCAGAGCGGACGCGTGACATCGCTGTCACCCGTCCAGGCGCATATCGTCACCATCCGCCTTAGCCCTTTGAGTCACATGCTATAAAGTGACCTTTTTTGAGCAACTGAGTCCCGTTTCTCCCTGCGATGTGCATGAGTGAGTGTGAGCGGGCCTGCTTGTGTTTCGTGTTCAGCTCTGTCTTGTCTTTCATTAGTGCGTCAGTGAGAAGGGCTGGCGGCTCAGAGTAGAGGTAGACCTTCCAGAGGCCAGCAGTCGGGCTGCCAGAGAAACTCTCCGTCACCTCTTCCTCCTTCCTGCCGCCCCCCCCCCACTCCTCCCCATTACTCCTCCCCCATCACTGCCTGTTCACAAACAAACAGCTGACTTGGCCCAGGTGCATCCCAGCCTCTCGAGCACCAAACCCTCATCTAAAGTCAAGTAAAAGAATCCACTGAAAAACAAAGGAGAGATTTCACCAAGAAATGGGTTTTTAGGTTAAAAACAAGCTTTTATCTGGTGTAAACTTCTTTTATGGTGCATTTTTAAAAAATATTTTTGTTGCACAACCTCTGTTTCTTTTCAGAGATCATTATATTTGTGCTGAGATGAAGCTATTTGTTTTCCAAACCAGCAATGTTCCGGCCTCTGTCCAGAGAAACAGAGTCCAACCGGACCGATGAGCTTAGATTAGGGTCGTCTAACACAGAAATAAAACATCAGCCATGATCCACAGCCAGATGGCATTTTGGGGTCTGGGAAACATTACATTTTTCTTCTGGATTGGCAGAAACCATTACATGGTTACTTTAACAGAATATTTTGTAAATTAAAGCAACTTAAAGAGGACTTCACTGCAAAAACGTATCAAGAAAGATAATAAAAGGCTCCTTTTAGATATTTTATCTAGGGATGCACGTATCTGCCAATGTTAGTCATTTTTGAACGGAGGCCGACCAATTAGGGTTTTTTAAGGCCGATGTCGATACCGATTTTTAAAGAAGTTTGTTGCTGATGGCTGATATCTAAAGCCGATTATTAAGGCCGATATATTTATGTTTTAGCAGCACATTGATTGTGAATGACAACTGAACACTCCCTCTGAACAATATAAATAAAATAAGTCAATAAATCTCTTAATATTTATTGAACTTCAAATATAAAACAAACTCAAAACATAAAAAAAACGGTGTGTTGGGGTCCTTCGGGTCCTTTCTTTAGTCTAGTAGTGGCAGCAGTTGGCCACACAGCTGCCTGATTTGTTTCATTTTTTATTTTTTATTGGCTTTTAAAAATAATTTCAGCCGATATAGAAAAAAATTAATATATATATATATATATATATATATATATATATATATATATATATATATATATATATATATATATATATATATATATATATATATAAAGAATACATTTTATACTATTTTTAACATATCCGTAGCGGTTCGATAAGTAAACCTGAGCAGATATTAACAACCATCTGGTTTCCATTTGTTTATCTGTTTCATGGAGTGAGGGGAGTGATAATGTGTAATTGTTTAGTCATGTGACAGTGATGGTAAGTCTCAGTAGCGTAAATCTGTGTGAAAAGTCTCTTACACCTGTCTCCTGCATTAGCTTCTGATAGAAAATAGACGGTGAAACTTTAGGATTATTAAAGCCTGACGGATCTATGTCACGCTGTGAATTGGACTTAACCATATTGACTCATGATGGGGAACGTTGTTGTTTTAGCATCCAGAATCAGCAGAGAATGTCCCTTTCAACAGAAGCTAACCGCTAGCATTAGCTCAGTTTTCTCAGTGTCTGATTCGATGACGTCTCTTTCGTGAAGCGCATTTGTAGTCCTGGACATATTTTCACACAAAACCTAAAATATCGTCCCCCCCCTGTTCTAAAAAAAGCGCTTTTTGGTATCAAAATGCATCTTTAAAATTCACGGACATCATATGTGAGATCCATGGCACATAACAAGCGGAATTAGAAAATAGCGTTTTTAGCCCCGTTGACTTGCATTCATTTTTCCGTTTTTCCGGGGACCCATGATGCGGAAGTTACTTCGGCTTCCTATTTAGGTTGATGACACAATGCTCCCTGTCCCAATTGGGCAATTATTTGCACACTTGTGTGCTGTGCACTTGAAGCCTTACTGCACACTTCCTCCAAGTTCACTTTGCTGAAGAACAAAGTGCAGTGCGAGTACTGGGATTGGGCCTGTGAAGCACAATTCTGATGTTGCAGACATGGATCTGCTGGGACGGTGGTTTGTGGGCTTTTTTGTGCCCTGAGTTCAGCCTGTAAGGCATTCATTCCTAGAGACACTGCAAATGTATTGATTAAATGAGTAAACTACTCCTTTAAAGCAGTTTGCAGGAGCAGCAGCTAATTACAATTCCTTCTTGTTTGGAATGCTGGATTAAAGGATTTAGGACAAACAAACTAAAACTCCTTGAATGTCTTTTCCCCTTATGTTTCTTTGTTCTTCTCATTTAATCTTGTTAACATCTCAGCTGGCTTCCCTCTCTCTCCCTGTGTGTGTGTGTGTTTGTGTGTGTGTGTGTGTGTGTGTGTGTGTGTGTGTGTGTGTGTGTGTTTGTGTGTGTGTGTGTGTTTGTGTGTGTGTGTGTGTGTGTGTGTGTGAGTGTGCAACAACGAAGCCAGCCATGTGCCTTAACTTTCCTCTCTCGGAACAAGCAGACATATAATCAACTTTTGAATCACATACACATGCCGGCAAACATGCGCGCACATGCACACACCTGACATGTGACACGCGGGCAGCGGAGCGGGCACATCACAGCCGGGGCGTTTTAATTGCCTGTAATTTATGCAGTGTGTGTGTGTGCTGTGCGTGTCCTGCTGTCAGGCTGTGAGATGATGCTGTGTGACAGCTGCAGTCCAGCCCCTGGAGCGAGCCGCTCATAATGACACATTAGACATACTAATGATGCTTGCGCGAGTCCGTTGCTGATGCTACCTAGCCCCGCCATGCCGACCGGGCCCCGTGCTTTCACTCTCTCACATACACACACACACACACACACACACACACACACACACACACACACACACACACACACACACACACACACACACACACACAGCCTGATACTGACCTTTATGTCTTCATTCAACTTCCTCAGATGCTGCCATATGAAAATGTCTCCTCACTTGTAATAAAATGATTCTGATGCCGACCTTTTGGATCAAAGAAAAACCGGCTCATGTAAAGTTTTGCATTGGAATGAAGAGCATGTCTCATTTTAGGGGAAGTGTTTTGCATTTGAGCGCATAACGAAAGACCTGTGCAGAAATATAAATATGCTTTACCCAGGTGTACCCCACCCAGATTGTCTCTGTGAAAACTTGAAAACACCAGATTATGACAGAATTTAGCAAAACACCTCCTCCTAAGATAAATGCATGCGAAGGAAAAACACAAAGAAGAGATTATATAAACTTTAGGAATCACAAGGCAAGTGTCACGTTGGGCTTCTTAAAAACCTGTTTCAGCTAAATGACTCAGATTTAACAGATGTTTGTTTGACCTCTTTTTGAGATGTTCTACTTGAATCTGCCATGTTTTTTAATCTTTCCTCTGATGCTTTTTGTTTAATTCTGTGTTTCGGATCAGGAACGATCCGGTCTCTCATGAGGCAGGGGCCATATTTCTGTCATGAGTGTGGGAAGAGTTTCAGCCAGCCCAGCCACCTGCGCACACACATGAGATCCCACACAGGTAAATACACACGCGCGCACACACACACACACACACACGCACGCACGCGCACACACACACACACACACACACAATAATCAATGGACGACACATTATCTGCCGTTAGAGTGGACGCTTCCTTGCCGCCAGCAGCAAAGTGTGACGTTTTGGGCGTGTCTCAGAAGCGAAGGGACACTATCATCACATTCTGAGTCTATTTTTTTATTTTCTACGCTTCCAAAATACGTCAAACCCAGTTTAGATCGAGCCAGGCAGGAAGTCAAACATGAAAGCACTGTAAAATGTTCGAACTAAAAGTCACGTGCAGATGAACATACGTCATTTCCTGTAAAAGCCTATATAATAAAATAGAATAAGAAAATAAACCACGGACCTGTTTGGAAACATGCAGCCATCTTTCTCCTTGCCTGTCATTGTTTGGACTTCTGAAATCACGCGTGGTGTTGCAGTTCTCCCATGATTTTGTGGCTTTGTGGGACCTGCGCGCTTTTGCTCCTGTTTTGCGGCTGAAACGCTCCCAGTTGGAAGGGAGCTTGCAGCGGATAAAAAGCAGCTATTACGTTTACGTGCTGTGGTAAGGATGCTTTAGGTTCCCTACCATCTCAACCCCAAAATCCAACAGCTTTTAGTTTTCTTGAATTATTTGTAAAATTTAATATTTAGAAATCCCTAACCACCTAATAGCTCCCGAGCACAGCCACTGCTGCAGCTCAGCGCTCCCCACGGGGACGGGTCAAATTTCACCAATGTGTGATGATGGTACTTTAATTTATTTAGTCTTTATTTATAGTGACAAAAACCCATTATGTTTACATTTTAATTACGCTGACCTTTGACCTCCAGGAGCCTAAACTCTACAGAGTTTCTGGTTTTACAGTTTGGAGAATCGGATTCACTTTGACCAGACTGATAAGCTAACAGTTAGTTTAAGCAGACCAAAGTGGACCACTGGCGTCTGGAAACAACTCAAATCTCAAAAGGTTTGAGGCGGTTCCTTTGAACGCTATTTAAAGTAGCTTTCCGGAGTTTTCTATTTTCAGAAATGATGTATGTTTTTTCAGAAATCCGTAAAAGTGATTATCTTATCATGGCAAATGGCCTGTATTTGATATAGCGCCTTCTGGAGTTCTGGAACCCCTCAAGGCGCTTTACAACACAATCAGTCATTCACCCATTCACACACTGGTGGGGATGAGCTACAATGTAGCCACAGCTGCCCTGGGGCGCACTGACAGAGGCGAGGCTGCCGAGCACTGGCGCCACCGGTCCCTCCGACCACCACCAGCAGGCAACGTGGGTTAAGTGTCTTGCCCAAGGACACAACAACAGCGACAGACTGAGCGGGGCTCGAACCTGCAACCTTCCAATTACGGGGCGAGCACTTAACTCCTGCGCCACCATCGCCCCATATCATGTACTGTGATAAAATGTAGGCAATGCGTCTTTTTTTTCTTTTTTTGTGCTAACCACGCCCACTGCCCCGCAGAGCTCCATGCAGAAAAAAATAATAAAATAAAAAAATACCCAGAGCGACAGACTTTTTGTGTGATATGCTTGTCAGCCACTAGATGGTGCCATAGGATAAGAGAACTACACCGGAAAGAAGCTTTGAGTAAAACTTAACACTTTCATCAGTCGCAGGTTTTATGGATGTATTCACACACATGTTGTACATGATGTAGTAGCAGCAGCTAGCTGTAACACTGAGTAACTCTGTAAAGGGAGATCTATGGCATGCTAATGTTCATGATTAAGATTAGATTTTGTTTAGGGTGACAGAAACTCACTCTGGCCTCAGACTAGCTGTTAGCTCATCAATCCAGCTTGAGTTAAAGACGGTTTCTCCAAACCGAAGAGCTATCTACAGCCGCAAAAGCTCGCCACCAGAAAGTCTTCCTTCTGAACTCAGCTGCTAAATCACATTTTGGACAATGACTGGTTGCTTATCAAGTTCCAAGAGTAATCACACTCCATGGAACGATGACATCATGGAGATGGATGATTGTGGCCAACACACCTGGATGTATGATGACAGGGGAGAAGTCCCCAGAAGTCCCCAGCTCTTTGGCCCACACGACCTGCGCTCGCACGTCACCCTCAGCACCCCACCCACCCCGACATGAGATATGGAGATTATATGCACGGGGATTCACACTCGCAACTATTTGTCACTGTCTGACGCCGCAAAATCCCGTCTGCTGCTACGTTCCGGCGTGCTGGCAAATAAATCAAAGCAGATCTTTTTGTTCAGCTGGGTGTGACAGAAGATCCGTGAGTCCTCCCTGCCCTGGGCCGGGCAGCTGTCCCCATTTTTTAAACGGAGACGTGATTTGCTGCAGATTCTGACCTGTGACAAATGGTGTACATTATTAATCGCATGTCAATTAGATGGATGGAATTGTGCATCCTAATGAAGCAGAACAGCATTTGTCCACGCCAACTTTGGGAATGTATTTGGATCCATCCGAGTGCCACTCACTACAAACAGCTTGGCTCATACGTTCTCTACTTTTCATCCCTTAGTTCAACCTCCATTCCTTTTCTTTATCGCCTGCCTCTTTCTTTCCATCTTCTACTTCATTTTCCTTCTCCAGATGTTCCATCACGTGTCACTCTTCCATCTTCCTCCATGTTTTTCCCCCCCTCTATTCCTTAGTTTCTTTCCTCCCTTCAGAGTTGTTTCTTCTCCTTTCGTCTTCTCTCCTCTTGTTGGGATGCCTGTTTTCCTGCCTCCTCACACCTCCTTCTGCTCCTCTTCTCTCCTGTCCTGTCACGTCCATCAGCCGGGCTGGCGGTGATCACAGTAGACACGGAGATAAGTAGCTTCTTTATAGAGAGTGTGAATGATATGTGGCACAGCCAGTGATTCTAAGTGACAGAGGCCAAATGGTAAGTGATGCAGTGCTCAGCCTTCCCTCAAGCCGTATTGTAAACATGCTCGCATTGCATTAACACACACACACACACACACACACACACACACACACACACACACACACACACACACACACACACACACACACACACACACACACACACACACACACACACACACACGCCCGTGAAGTGGGCCTGTAAACACTCGCAGAGGCTGTAATTAATGATGTCACCCACAGTTGTCTTCAGCATGGACGTACGCACACAGAAAAGGCCAGCCACCCTGAGGCCTCTATTAACACACGCCATATTAAATCACCAGTTCGCCTCCACCATCATCATCACCACCATCATCATCGTCACCACCATCATCATCGCTGCCACAGCCTCTCCATTAAAGGAAGGGCACTGGTGGCCAACTCTGTTGTGTTTGGGTGGTGGTGAAGGAGAGAGGGATAGAAAAAAACACGATGCTTGTATGAATCTGGTAGAGCATTTAACCAAATGCCCCCTTCCCCCTCCCTCCTCCTCCTCCCCCTCCTTCTCCCCTCACAGTTGGGTTTGATTTTAACGGACTCCACAGAGGTACTGACGCTCACACCAACGCTTCCGAAGCTCCCAGACAAGTATGTGGCACAACGGCTATAATAACTGGTTTCCATCCTGGCTTCTGCATGTCTGCTGTCACCACTGTCTCACCTCTGCATGTTTGTTTGTGTGCATGCGTGTGTGTGTGTGCATGCGTGCGTGCATGCGAGTGTGTGTGCGTGTACATCAATCATGCAGACTCTCATCCTGTGCACGTCTCCTCCTTTGTGCCTGTGCACCGGTCTCATGTGGCACCTGCTGCACCTGGCATTAACACCTGGCTTATCACGTGTGGCAGGATCACACCTGACATCAGTCTGTGTCTATATATATGTGTGTGTGTGTGTGTGTGTGTGTGTGTGTGTGTGTGTCATTAGTCTCATTGAAAGGCATTCATTTAGCCACGGAAACACTACTAATTGCTATCTTCAGGCACTAATTCAGTTCTGTTACTGATCACAGTGAAGCAGACAGAATGTGATTTACTGACGCTGACGTACGATAAATACAATAAGGCTATGGCGTCATCGGATAATTAAAGGATCATGTTGAGGAAACGTGGAGCTGTGGTCACTTTGGTCTTATGCGATATGAAAGCCTGTGACGTGACCTGTTGGTGCTCGGGTGGCTGTCGTGAATCCCTCTCTGATGCTACAGCACCAACGAACAGTTCGTTAGAAACGTTTTTGTGCTTGCTAGTGTTGGTTAGTGGGAGCAGCCATCTTGAATTGGGTTGAGTCCAGCATTTAATCAGATGTAGGTGTACAGAGGACATCTGAGCGCTACATAATAACCCATCCAACCTCTCCCTACAGACCAGTGGGTGTTCAAACAGCCTGGGCCTTCTTCATTGGTCTGGTCTAAAAACGGTTTACAATTAGTTTTAAACATAAACATAAAAAACCTGCAGCATCAATCCCTAATTGTTGTTCCTATACTTCTCATCATGGTTCCTATAAGACACCAAATTACTTTTTCTACTTCCCCTAAGAATGTCTGACTTATAGTTTTGCTTTCAGGTTGTTTCCATCGACACACCTTGATTTAGTTAAAAAACACATTTCATTTGAACATACATGGAGATGGTTTTGTGAGAAGAAAAAGACATACATTATAAAGCTGTTTGTTTATTGACCAAAAACAGCCTTAAACAAAAGCCAGGAGATCAATAAAATGAATTAAAAGCTAAAAAAAAAATAAGAAAAAAATAGGGGGGGGGTACTGATATTACACCAAGTAAATCAATGTTTTAACATTTAAAAAGTAATTGAAATCATGTTTTTGCATTTTAAAATGTTTAAGGACTAATATTTCATGGAAACGTCACCACATTTGTACGATTTTGGTGTGACTCAAATCTGCTCCAAAATGGTTCACTGGGACAAAGTTTAAAGGTGTGGAGTGCTAAAAACACATTTTTAAGATCTTATTTCTGATTATACTATGTAACTCTTGAGTTTTTTATGCAGACTGAACATAAAAACAGTCTCCTACACCTATCTCCTGTTTCAGCTTCTGATAGAAAAGAAACAGTGTAAATGTAGGATTTGAAAATCCTGACGGATCTACGTCACACTGTGAATTGGACTCACCCATATTGACTCACGACAGGGAAGGGTGTTGTTGTTTTAGCACCCAGAATCAGCAGAGAACGTCTCTTTCAGCAGAAGCTAATCGCTACTAGCATTAGCAACTCAAATATATGGCTGAAGCTCCCCCAGGCTTGTTATTTGTGTAACTTAACATTCATGGCCTCACCCATTTTAACACATTATGGGGAAGGCTGTTGTCAGTTTAGCATCTAAGAAACTGCATTTTGGCTAGTAGAAGCTAACATTTAGCATTTGCAACTTCACCACATAGCAGAACTCCTCCAGGCATGTGTTATTTGTGAAGGTAAAACATCAAAGTTGCTGTTATCCAATCTGGGGTGAGATGTTCAAATATCAGGAAATAAGAGTCCAGATCCTGCTGTCTGAAGCTCAGCTGGGTTGTGGCTCACTTCTAGTTCCTGGAAATGGTGCACCAGCATATTTTTTCATTCGAGCACAACTTTCTAGAGACCACTGCAAGTATCCCACTGCTTTAAGTAAATGTAATTTTTAACGTCTGCATTTGAACAAATCAGACACAAACTCTGAAACACACCAGGTCAGGCGTGAGTGATTTTAGAAAACTTTTGGAATTAGACATAAATATTTCTTTTGAACAAAGATTGGACACAGCAAGGAACGAGGACTTGTTTATTTGTAAGGAGCCAGGGAGTAAACTCTGCACCTCCATCATAATTTATGACACACACACACACGCACGCACGCACGCACGCACGCACGCACGCACGCACACACACACACACACACACACACACACACACACACACACACACACACACACACACACACACACACACGGTCTGAGTGATGGCAGCAGGCGCAGCAGAAGGGTCCAATTAGACGCAGTGTTGACGCTGCTTTACGACAACGATAACCTTTAGTATAATGTAGTGCAGCGGTCCCGCCACTGATGTTTCCTCCCAGGACGAAGTCGTTTAGGTTCGCGCTTTCCTCTCACGTCCCTGCCTCGCCATCTTTTCAGCCATTTTTTTATATATTTTTGTGATTAATTACACCTTTTTGTTTTTACCTCTCTTCTTTCCCACCCCTTCCTCCATTTCTCTCCTTTCTGTTTGGTTTCTGATGATGTATGATAACAGCTATATTTCTGTGTTTCTTCTTCTGGGAGAAAGGTGCGGGGTGGGGCAGGGGGAGTCATTTGTTTTCCTGCTTTGATATTCTTCCATTTATCAAAATGATAATTAGGTGCAATTAAATGGCACTCTCATTTGTTTTGTTCCACGTGTGTGTTGCTTTGTTTTTTTGCCATTGTAGGTCAGTCTAATTAGAAGAAAGAGTATGGAATGTGTGTGTGTGTGTGTGTGTGTGTGTGTGTGTGTGAGTGTGCATGCCTGTGTGTGTGTGTGTGTGTGTTTGCCTATTAGATGGTGTAAGGTGGTTCAGGTGATTGAGATGAATCCACAGATTCAAAGTAAGACTGATAAGAAAGAGGACGCGCATCTTGTTGCTCCAGAGGGAAGGGAAATTAGATTGTTCCTCCATCGTGGTCGCCATCACAGAATTTTACACAAATTTAAATGTCAAAGTATATTTCTGTGTAAAATAGATGACTAATAAAGGATGTCCGATATTATCTATCTGCCGATAATGGCCATAAGATGTAATATCGGTAAATAATGGTGTCGGTGTTTTCTCCTTTAGTGACCCAACTTTTACATACCATGCACATATTATACATCAGACCTCCTCTCTCTCAGAATGCCAAAATATGGCAGATCTGAGGTTTAGTTTTTTAGATATTTTAGTTTTATTTGACACAACTTGAGATTAATTAAGCTTCACTAGGAATGCTTGATATTGGCTTTTATTTAATTTTTTACCAATATCGTCTACCTCTTATTTTCCAATTGCAATAGAAACCGATACCAATACATGCAGGGTCTCCCGTAATAAAAACAGAAAATAATAAATCACTTAGGTTGCTAACATCTCATATCTCCTGTCATGAACGCTTAAGCTTTAAATATTATCAGTGCAAACTTCCAACTACTTCAATTTAAGTCAGTAACGTCATGGATTACGCAAATATGTTTAATTTGTCTCCAACAGCGGCTGAACGACATTCTCCTTCAGATAATCCTGAGAAAAACCCTCTGGGATGCCTTTAGGCCAAAGATAATTATTAAATTCATGATGGGACATTGTTTGTGTAATAAATTAATCCTACAAGTCAATTAATGATAAAAACGTTAAAATGTGAAAGGTTTTAAAAATGGATCAAAGTGAGACATCACTGTTGCAAACATTCTTTGTTAGGTTGTCTGTGTGAAACGCGACAGAGTGAGTGCTCTTAACTCTGACCTATCACTGATGTAGGCTAGATACATAAGCTAACCATTAGCATTAGCAACTCCGCCACACAGCAGAACTCCTTCAGGCATGTGTTCTTTGTGAAGATAAAACATCAATGTTGTAGAGCAATTGGAGTCAGTGGTAAAGTTACGTTGCTGCTCCTAAAAGAGGCGCACAGGGGCTTTTTTCCCCGGAGTATGACTTACATTCATTCCCATTAGAAATCAATGCCAATGTATGAACAATATGAGTGAAGGACTGATTTAATTATATCATTAAATCCACAAATAATAATAACAGTCCATAAGTATCACAGTATAAAAAGCCAACGGGCTAATAAAGGATGTTAAAACAGGTCCAGTCAGCTGGGATATTAAACAGGGCCTTCCAGCTGTGACTCCTGCTGCTGCGAATTTCAGTTACTTTTGCAAAACGGACGATGATGCAAATATTTAAAATAATCATTTGTGAACTACTGTTTGGAGTAGTTTTGCCCTGTAAGCAAAATTCTCTTTGCAGTTTGCTGCTGCTGGATTAGCTGTTAGCTCGTCAGCGCCATTGGTTTAAACTCTATTTCTCTGAACAGAGGCCATTCAGGAGTGAAAAAGTGCACCATCCTTGACCTGCATTCTTCCAAATGCATCATGTTCGTGTGTGTCTACGTTTGCTCATATCTCCCTCTCATCTTCATCTGCTCTCATCTTGTCTTTCATGTCCGTCCTTTAGTAACACCTCATTTAGGTGTTCACCTTTGACCTTTTTGTCCCGCTATCTCTGTTCTGCAGGGGAAAGGCCATTCAGCTGCCAGCTCTGCCCATACCGAGCCTCTCAGAAAGGGAACCTAAAGACGCACGTCCAGAGTGTCCACCACTTGCCTTTTGACAACAGCCAGTACCTGGACGCCCGGGGCTCGACTCTGAGCCAGGAGGAGCCAGGATCACCGGCTGCCAAGCACCTCCCAAAACCGCAGTGACAACCACAGCATCCGGCTGGTGGACCCGCCGCGTCACCTCAGAGCCCGTTAGAGAGTGGGACCCAAGACTCATGAAGAACTCGATGATCTTTATTGAATTTTCTACAAAGAATTTTCCTGTAGTTTTGATAATTGTGTTTCGTGAAGAGGCGTTTTAAAGCTGTGCTAAGAACGCTTAAAAGGAGCAGAAAAGTCTTGTGACAAAAAACTAAAACGTTAAAGTTTAATTTGAAAGAATTTTAGCAAGGAAAGCAAACTCACCCATGTTTAATCTTTCCCGTTTCTATGATATGAAGGCTTTGCATCACCTGAAAGGATTTCTGATATAAAAAAACACGCAGACTTCATAGATTTCCCTCCTGCTGCCATTTTAAAGGTACCAACATGTGACGTAGCCAAGAGCAGCCTTAAAGGAACATTTCCAAAAAAGAAGAAAAACTCATGAAGTTTTTAGCCTAATAGTCCAGAAACCGGACACGTGTTTAATTTAAAATCTGTTATCGTATGTTAGCCTGTGTTCCGCTGGACAGTAACCATCGAGCCAGATTAGCGGTGGCAGCAACACAGAAGCTGTAGCGCCGCTGATTAGGAAGGAAGAGAGACAGAACAAACGCTAATGACGACATCTGCTTAAGTGTTCAATATAAAAAGTTACATCCAAACCTACATTTTTGATCAATTTTAATGTGCATCTAATTTTCTACGTATATTCAATTAGTTTCCATGTAACAGGAAGGGACTGAGTCCAGAATCAGGCTGCAGGAAGATGCTGGCCTCAGATTCAGCAGGACATTAGACATGGCACCAATTGAAGGCGTTGAAAGGACTTATTAATGTTGCGGGCTGGTACATAGACTAAAACTCTCATTTGACACCTGGAAAATGAACACCTAAGCAGACCAAGTCTGTCGTGTTGTCAGGCTGGTTGTGAGGAAGATTTGCATTCTGAGGACCCGGTGTTTGGAGGTCAGAGAGGGAGCAGCCCGAGGTCAGGAGGCCACGCTTCCAGGGCTACAAACATCCGGTGGAGACACTTTGAAACCCTCTGAAATGTAGAGCTGTCACATCCTTAACGTCGGGTGTGTGAGCAGACATATTTGTTTTCCGTGTTTAGATGCTATTATCCTACCTCCTTAGTGATGAGAGCTTATTATCAGAATAAAGCCAAAACTGTGTGACTCCTTAATGGTTTTTGGCCATTTTTAAGTGTGTCTCTGTTTAAAGATGAATAAATAATGATTATTTTTCTCATTGCAGATAGCTTACTGAACAGCCTCTGTTCAAAGAAATAGAGTTTATCTGAAAGTAGCCCAAAATCTCCTTTAAATGATCGCTGAGCTGGAAGCAGCCGAGACAAGCGAAGACTCGAGAATCCTAAAGCTAACGGAGGAAGCAGAGAACTTTTTTACACAGACATGTTTAGTTATGCACACAATGCTGTGTGCTTGAATCTGCCTAATGACACACACACACACACGTGTGTATATTAAAGGTGTGTGTGTAGTTCAAATACTTGAAATGGATACTCTTAGCCTTTGAGGTAGTGTAGTACTAATACCAGTGCTCTACAGAATTCCCTTTAAGATTAACTCGTCAGAATTTGTACTCCAAAGTGTGGTTTAGAAGCATGTGTGTGTGTCTGTGTGTGTGTGTGTAATATAAACTGTAAATGTGTAATCCACTTTGACCAAAACCTTTATAAACAGCAGTAGAAACCAAACAGCATAACTAGTGCACTTAGACTAGGTTAGTGTTTTAACCTCTGTTTTCTCTGTGTGTGTGTGTGTGTGTGTGTGTGTGTGTGTGTGTGTGTGTGTGTGTGTGTGTGTGTGTGTGTGTGTGTGTGTCCATAACGGTGAGGCTAACACACTTGGCTGTTTTTTGGGGGTGTAGATGCTACTGTCGTCTGGTTAGAATGATTTCATGAATTTGAATAAAACTGAATAGTTTTAGCTCTCTAGCTGCTCTTTGGACAGTTGCATCATGCAGCTTTGCTTCTTGTTTTTATTATTTTTATATAAACATGTGAGAGTGATTTTTTTTGTCAGTTTCATCTAAACTGTAGGATTTGTTCAGCAGCTGGTGAGGGAGGGGTTTCTCTTTAGTTGTTTTTTTCCCCCTTTCCTTAACTCTAAACATGTTTTATTTGTGTCTGTATTGCTGTTATTATTTGTTCTAATTCATGGTTAATTTGCTCCAGAAGAAATTTTTACTCCAAATGTACTTTGGTTGATATCTGTATTTATTATCACTCCAAAACAAGGATGAGAGGACCGAGGCAGACAGGTGTGTTTTTGTTTTGCTTTGATTTTTCTGGGTTTGTTTGAGTTATTATTATTATTATTGTTTTATTCATTGGATTTTTTTAGAAGGTAGTTTTCAAGCCAGCAAGTCGATGTGGAAGCTCTACCTCGTCTGAGCCATTCTCAGTTTCTGTTACAGTTTGTGCATCATTTCAAAAACCGATGTAACGTCATGTCCAAAATAAAGACACAAAACAGCGCCGTCTCATCAGGTCTCCGCTGTTTTTATTTGACTGAACTCATCCACTGAAAAAGCCTCGTAGTTTTAAACGCTCACATGTCATTTCAGGCCTGATCTAATAGGCAGCTTTTACAGCATTAAGTTATGTATCCCCTTTTGGTTTTGAATTTTGAAGTCAAAACTACCAAAACCTTAATATTGTCTTGATTTCAAGACAATATTAAGTCAAAGAAAAATACCAAGCAGTTTTTTTTTTCATTCTTTGGCACAATAGGTAGTCTACTTTGTCCTTAATAACTAACAAATCTCAACTTTTCACACAAGTAATTACAAAGTTTTGGTTCTTCATTGACATTAAAATTATATATATTGTTTTCGTTCTCAGATTAATTGAATGAAGCTCACTTTATCAGGTGTGATAAGCATATTTCCATGAGGTCTAACGCTCTTAACAGTTACTTTCCTCAAAAACCGGATGAATCAAATCTTCTAGCCCCTGGTGGAGCATCTTAGAAACTAAAATTACCATTGTTGTTATCACAGTAAAGTGTATTTAGCAACAATTCACACACAACTCACCTCAAAGCTCTTTACAAAGCAAACAGTTGATCCCACTTATGACTTTTGGGTATTCTGACTTTTTTTGTGCGGAGGATCCCTGATGTTACATTTATTTAAAGGGAAACTAAGTAACTTTTTCCTATTTTTAAATCACGTTTTGGGGCAGCATGTGCTAAAATGACCCTTTCCAGGGAAGAAGAACAAAAAGGAGATTGCATCGAGTCACTGACTTGTTGTGTCAGTGACTTTACAGCTGGGATAGCATCCCTAAAGGAGGAGACTGGATACAGGCCCTCGGGGAAAGGAGTTGGCTACCCCTGCTTTACAGCAATCTGCATACTAAGCAAGCATGTGGCCACAGTGGAGAGGAACACTTCCTTTAACAGGAAGAAGCCTCCAAAGGACCCTGGCTCAGTACAAGCAGCCATCTGCCACCATTAAAGCTGCTTTCCGGAGTTTTCCCCTTTCAGAAATGATGCATGATTAGTCAGAAATCCGTAAAAGCGATTGTCTCATCATGTACTGTGATAAACTGTAAGCGATATGTCTTTTTTTTTGCCCTGCCCCGCAATGCTCCATGCAAAAGGAAACTGAGCGCCGACCAGAACTAACCAATAGCGTTAGACTACCGTTTACTTGCTTCAAATTTAAGGAATACCTCGACTGATGCAGAGTTGATGAACTTTTCACGGACAAGTAAGTCTCTAAAATATAAATATATGAGAACACAGCATGACATGAGAATAGTACTCGTAAAACAACGTGTTTTAGCTCTGTCGGCTACAGAAGCACATTTATAAACAGAAACGTGAAGTTGCGTGAGTTTTTGTGTGATATGCTTGTCAGCCACTAGATGGTGCCATCGGATAAGAGAAATACTCTGGAAAGAAGCTTTAACTAGGGGATTTGGAAGACTAAGCAGTTAATCATAGCATTTCTGTAATATTCTGAGTTAATATAACAATCCACATTGTATTTTAAGACGTTTTCAGAAACAACAAATAAACTAATACAAAAACAGACTAAAGATTTCATAAATATTTAGGTCAAGTGTCAGCAGCTCAGTAACATGACTATAAAATCATAGTGTTGAGAAGTCTTTAGAAGGCAGACCTAACTCGGAAGACTGGCACAACTGTGCAGAATTGGATTCTGAAGCATAAAAGTAAGTAATACTTTTTGTTTTGAGTATCTTTGTAATCAGATTTGTAAAGACATAAATCTAACGTTCAGGTTAGAAGTTATTTTGTTCTCTACTAACCTGCCTTTGACATCCTTGTTGGTTCTGATTCTGTAATCACCTGCAGAAGAAAGTCAGTCTTCCCTATTCATCAAGACAAGCTGACAACAGATCAGTCAAGGTGCACCCTCTTATTTTCAGAAGACAGATCAGGACTTTGATGTCCGCCTGTGCTGAGCTGCCACCTTGATGTCCACGTGTGGCCTTCCAGCTGAAGTCCTGCTGCCCGGCAACAGTGATGAGAAGCTTCGATGCGAGCGACCACCCAAGGATCTGTTGCTGCTTTGCCAGTCTCTTTCATGCTCGGTGTCTACGTGGAGCCCTGTGTGTCTGTGAGTGACGGCTGAGTGACGGGTTCCCTCTGAGAACATGGCACACAGCGTTAATGCCAGGCGGGCCTGTGGGCTGAGGGACGGCTGCAGCTGCCCGTCACTCTCCCTAACCTCATCAGTCACTGCGAAGGCAGACGTGACGGCCCGGAGCTCCCTGAAAAACCTGTTCGCTGACATCTCCTCTCTCTGTCACGCAGCGGAGAGACGCTGACTGAGTGAGTGAGTGACTGAGCTGCAAATGTACACCAAACTTCAGGCTGGCGCAGAAATGATGGAAAGGTGCGCTGGGGTACACAGTATAATGTGATTGTTTTCTTTCTGTCTGTGTCAAAGCTGTTGCTTTCTTTGGGAGCGTTTACACAGGTATAACCACAGGGCCTTCCTCACATCCTCTTTCTGTATCAGAATAAATGTTTTAATGTCTTTTTATGAGATGTTTTATGGTTTACATGTGGTTTAAACTCTGAATGACCTCAAAGCAGTCTTAAAACAACATCTTGTGTGTTGGCTTGCTAGGGGCTTGAACAGTTGGTGAATAAATCTAAAGCATTTGGAACAAACAATAAAAACACCAGAAGACATGTTCCCTTATAATCCAAGCAACGAAGAGCAAATCAAATAAATAAATAAATAAAATCTTGACATTGTGTCCGCAGCAACATTATCCAGCTCCAACTGTGAGACCCCAAGGTGTTTGAGTCTGTCCTCTATTCCTTTAAAACTGAAAAATGTTTGTTATTTTTTAAATTTGATTGAGTTTCATGTGCATGCTGAACGTGGAAATATTTCCTGCATTAGCTGCAGAAAGGAAATGGATGGGGAAGTGCTCGTGTCAGCAAATACCAGTCTCTTCTATGTCACTGGGAAAATTAGCATTATTGACCCCGCCCACTTTTGACAGTGGAAGGCTGTTGATGATTTAACCACCAGCAGAGAGCAGAGCGCTTTTGGGCAATGACAAGTGAACTATTAGCATTAACAACTTCACAACATGGTGGAACTACCAGTCTTGCTTGTGGAGCGTAACGGGAATCAGGAGGGTTAGTGGAGGAAAGCAGGTGAAAGCTGAAGATAGTGGGGTGTCTGCAAGGAGGCAGAGGAGTGGTGTCAGGGATGACATAGCATGCAAGCCGTCTGGAGCGTGATGGGATTGTTTTGGTGGGAGATGAGAGGTGCGAGGACTAGAGAGGAGTAATGACTGGAAGCTGGTTCTCGTGGTTTGGGAACTGATGCGTAGACCCACGGATCAGGGACTCGGGGATCATGAAGGAACAACTGAGTATCTGAGTGGTGAGGAGGAGAGTTATTTAACTGGTTGGTTGTTGTTGTCCATCCAATAGCAGGTGGGAAGCTGATCACGCACGGTTGGTGAGAGTTGGGCGTGATGAGCACCTGACAGGAACATGTTCAGACTTGTGTAATTTGCAGTGTTGGGAACGTTACTTAAAAAAGTAATTAGTTGTAGTTACTGATTACTTCGTCAAAAAAGTAACTCAGTTACTAACAAGATCATAAAAGTAACTAATTACCAAGAAAAATAACTACTTAGTTACTTTTTTCATTAAAGAATGCAAGAATTACCACAATAGTGAAATATAAATGACTAATGACTGGAACATAATAAAATGCATGTCCAAATGTTTTTTTATAACCCTGAATAATTTAAATAAATAAGCACTTAACAGGAGGAACTACTAACAGGAGCATTACACTTATCTAGACTATTAAAAGGTCACTGTGTGATATTTAACAAGACCTCAATCAGCTAAAATTTAAAATTGCAAATAGAAACACCTGTAAAGGTTCCCGAGCCTTTACATGGTCTCTCAGTCTAGTTAAATTACAGAAATAAATGTAATTTTGCACAGTATTTTAATTTTCCAGCTTCACATAATTGTGTGTTTTTTGTAGCATTTCTGTTGCTGGTAATCTAGTAACGGTTAAATAAATAAATAAATATCCTTTAAAATGACACTAGAAGAGGTACAACTTGGGTCAGACCCAACCACAGAAGAGCTGAAGCTGGGTGGTGAACACACACAGGTAGTTCTAATAACGCCTGAGCTCCATGACGTCTGAGACTGATGCATCAGTGTTACAGCGGGACTGAAGACATGATCAGAAACAGGTTACAGCTGGATGATCTAGGAAGGTAGAAGATCGTGGCGTCTGAGTGGTGAACAGGTGAGCGGACCTTCGGGACGTCCCGCTGTCACGCCAAGAATTGGGCACGGCTGCAGACCCGCAGATGCAGCAGCGAATCTGCGGGTCTGCAGCCGTAGACTATTCATCACATTTTCCTCGTTCATCACGGCCGTGAAGCGCTTGGATGAAAACATCTGCCTCTTTAGCTCCCGAACAGCTGATGACAGCTTCAACACACAGCGCTGCTTAACGCACGCATTTCCTTATCAGTTACAGAAACAACGTTTTGTTAAAAGAAGACAGTAATTTATTAGTTTGCTTGTTACTGAAAGACACATTTTTTTTATTAACGCAGTTATTTTAAACGGCGTTATTCCCATCACTGCACTGTTGTGTCTACAGCAGGCAGTGACTTAAGCCGGGCGTACACTGTGCGACTTTTTCACTTTTTTGAGCCGATTTTCCAGTCGTGCGAGAAGCCACGACATCGGGGCGAGTTTTGCGCTGAGCGGTCGTGTAGTGTACAGGGGGTTACGAGAGGCGATTAACACCACGTGACCAGCTGCCGATCAGCAGTCGTGAGGTCGCAGGGACTTCTGGTGTGTTTAATATTTCGCTCGTCCCTCGTGAGGGTATCGCATCGCACTGTTGAAGCGGCGCTGCGAGCAGCTACGATCCAAAAAGTATCAGAACCGCTCACGGCGCATGCGCGCGCAATCCTGCATCAACGCCGGCCGGTCGCTCGTTAT